TGTATTTTTGAATGAATTCTTATTTGATTTGATAATCCTTAATAAAAAAATAACTTGATAATAAATGGTGAAATATATTTTAAACCTAATAGCCAATAGGTATGTACAATGTACATATTATTATACCTAGGTACCTAAATCTTGTAGTAGATCACTTCTAGTAAATTGGTAGATCACCTGCTATACAAATGCCTTTTATAGTGGTTCATAATAATAGAAATATAAAATGGGGTGATTTCAGTCACGACATATTGAAATAGCTAAGTTGTTTTTTACATATTACCTTATTGTTTGTAACAATATTCATAATTATTGTATTGTTAAAAAAACATAATATTATATAAATTTAAATTTGAAATATTTAACTATTCATAGTCTTTCACTATTAAATTATTTAAGTAGTTCACAATATTATAAATATAAAATGGGGTAATATGTGGAATTTCCAATTTTGAATTAAGTTGTTTTTAATTAAAGAATATAGGTAATTGAAAACAAGTTTTACAATAAGTATGCATTTAAAATTACAATATGCTAGATGTGTACTTATAGGTTAGGCACCATATATTATGTATATTTAAAATTATGATTATTAACTTGCTACAATTAATTCAAAACTAACGTGAAATAGTTTTGAATGGTAATTGAAAAAAAAAAATCACCTATTAGAAGGTAAATCTTAAAAACAAGACCTACAAGTTAAAGTAAAATTTTAAATTAATATTGTATTGAAAAAATATATTCAATAAAAAATTGTTAAATTGTGAAAATAACATTTTAAATATGGCTCAAATCAACCCATTTTATATAGAATTAGTTACATTTTTAAACTTTTGCCAGTTGTATCATATGGGTGTGCTGAATATGCTTTAATTTAAATAAATAAAAAGGTATATAAAACAGTTTCTTAGGTAGCTAATTGTATGCGCCTCTGAAGAGATTTTACAAATGGGTAATGAGCCTAGTCAATTTATCATAAACCATCTGAAATTAATGTCAGCATATACCTGTATTATATTGTGTGATTAAAAAAAATTGTATCATTTACTATTTAATTTTTTATTAGTCACTTACTATGTTTTAAAGCTATTAAGTATATTTGTACATATTGAAATATCGTTTAAACCACAAAATCAATTTAAAAATTATTGTCTTCAAATTTTGTACTGGACAGTATTATAAGACATCAAAGTCAATAATTTATTTTTATAAGATATTGGTGTTTATTTGTTTAGTATTTATATGTGTGTAAACTGTATTGTAAACTTTAAAACTGTACCATACCTATTGATTTTTATTATACTATATTTTTTTGTAATTGATTTTTTTTTTACAATTTAAAAAATAGGTATACATTTTCAAATACAACCAATATTTTGGTTATTATAACCAATTTAACTGAAAAAATAGGTAACAGTAAGTTAATTAAGGATCAAGGTATACCTTCAGTGAGAAAAAAAAAATTTTGGTTTTCAAACGAATAGCCCCACCTAGAGATCCTATTCTTACATAAGCTTACAAGATGGTGCTCCGGCCCATAACTACCGGCAGGTTCAGGACTATTTAAACAACATTTACGGAGGTAATTATCATTATCATCATATTTTGTTTGATTGCTACTTATAAAAATTTTAATATTATACATATAATATTTAAAGTTACACAATTTTCTTCTCATTTATATTCATATAGGTATTTATTTACATTAACCCAATATGTTATGGATACAATTTATACAAATAAGTATTACATTTAATTTAAATTGTATTTTTAAGATAACTGGATGGGTACCGGAAGTCCAGAAAATTCAATGGCCAGCACGTAGTCCAGACGTGACACCTTTGGGTTTTTTTTTGTTGGGGGGGGGATTTGTGAAGAATGCTGTTTAAAGATATAATGCAATCCAGTAAAAATGAGCTGATAAAAAAAATTACAGAAGTCTGTTCAAATATACCAGCTGATATTATGAAAAAATGTACAACTGAAAATGTCTTAAAACGTATGACATTTTGTATGTCACAAAATGGTCAACATTTTGAACACATATTAAAAATAAATAATCCAAGAATTTTATGTAGTTGGATCTTCATACATTTTTTCTTTCAAATCCTTATTAATTAATGGTCTTGGACTCTTGGGATTCCGATTTGATTGTTAATCAAATAATATATTAATATCACTACATTAATTTAATATTAGTTTTTGTACAATAAAAAAAAAAGTTATAAGATTTTCAAATAGTGTAACTGTAAGACACGATTTTAGATAGGTAATTAATTAATTAAATTCTTAAATAGTGCTGTAAAATTATAACACCTATTATAGTATTATTCTATTTCATTTTCTACTATTATCATACAATATCATACAACATTCATATCATTCACAATATCACAGAACATTGAGCAATATTATTTAAGATAATTGATAGGACTATCTTAAATCGTGCAATTGTGCATTATCACCTAAATATGGGTATTTATTATTTACTTTCTGCATAATATTATAATCATATTACCAGTCACGGACTTATCAAGGTATACCTTAGTCATTAGTGGTAATAAGATATAATTATGTGGTGATACCATTTTAATTTTTAAATAATTATCTGTGAAATTGTGATTAAAATAAATTTGTCATAATATATTTCCAGTTTTTATTTATCATTCATTGGTAATTCGGTATGTCCAATTAGTCGATAAGTTAACTCTTTGAGGGGCCGTGGTTAGTATGCTAACCACTTTTTTTTTTACCGTTCAGGTGCGGTGGTTACTATTTTAACCACTTTTAAAATTATTTTTAATATTTTTTTGAAAATCGTCAGCATACCAACCACCTTATTATCATCTAATACATGCATCAAACAATATCACTGCCGCTGGTCTGATATCATTTCTCGCGTATTTCATCATTTATTATCATTATCAATATTTTGATATACGTACTAAATGTTATGGTAAAGAGACATATTGCCCACTTGGGCTTTTTTTCCAAAGGCAATTTTCGCCCCTCAAAGAGTTAAGAAATGATTAGGGTTCAAAGTACAATGGTAATCTACAATTAATTGTTATTTATTTTGTCACCTTGGGTTCAACGATATCAAATTTATGATTAGCTCCTGGTCTTTACAATTATTGAAAATATTTTGAAAACCACCAATATTTTGAGGAGCTGTATCTCGCAAACGAATCATCGAAAAATAAAAATGTTAACGCGTAAATTCACAATAAAAATGGTATTATTAATTCATGATATTTTTATTATATGTTACCGTTTGAAAATCAAAAGTTGTTAGTGGTTTCACTAATAAATATAAGGGTGAAAAAAATTAAAATATTATACGGTTTTAGAAAAACATAAACCTAGAAGTTTAAAAAAAAAAAATTCAAAAAAAGTTAATACTTTTCGAGATAATTAGTGTACCCACTTAAATGGATCACCCTGTATATATAATATATATTACTATATTATTATATGATATAATATATAGTATAATAATATAATATAATATATTATTATATATATATATAATATATATTACTATATTATTATATGATATAATATATAGTATAATAATATAATATAATATATTAATATATATATATATATATATATATTACTTAAATATAATACTAACCAGTTACTTTAAAAAAGTAAAGTCTTGTAAATATTAAAAAAAAAAAGTTACAACTATACTTATTTCACAAGTCACGGTCACGACTCCAATTCAAGACTGGTCACAACAGGACTAGACATGTCACGCCGTGTAGCCGTATACCAAATGCTGGTTGCACCTTGCTTCCAACTTTGGACACTCCTTTGACGCGTGTCAAAAATACCGACTTTCGGCGGGAATCGTTCCAACGCCAATGTTGGGCCCAACATTTGTCACTTGACATATGCATTTTCGGCTACACGATGTGGCAAATTATCGTGTGGCCAACGTTTGAAGGTATTGGACGCATCGTGTAGCACCGGCTTAAAACACGAGACAAATAATGAAAACGGACCATATTATGGAGTGTGGGTGGTCTGATATGCAGTGGCGTAGCCAGGGGGTGGTTTTAGGGGTTCAACCCCCCCCCACCCCCCTTGGCCTTAAAAAAAAAAAAAATGTTTTTACTGTATGATTTTAATACTTTTATTTTTATTATTATTTAATATTATTTTAGTATTTTCTATGTACGGCTGTGGGACGCTATTCGGTGATCGTCGCGTGCTTATCGCACCGACGACCGAACGATCCCACATCTACTCAGAATTATATAAACATATGTATATGTCTATGGCGTGTATGTATGACCCGACGACAGCGACGGGTAATATTGTTCTATTTATACTTTTTTCAATTATTCTTTTATACCATATACTATCGTGCTGCTGAGAGACTGAGTCTTGATTATATTCTACTGTGATAGTGTCAAGTGTGGTTTGTTGGTCTGTAACTGTTAAATTCTTAACTGTTTAACGTTTGTTTAATACTAGTTATTACTAGTTAGTAGTTATTAAGGCCACTAATAAGTAATCGCTATGAATAATCTGAAAAGAAAAGGACTCAAGCAAGAACAAGGACAATCAAAAACTGTTTTACAGTTTTTTAAAAGAAAAATTCCTGAATCATTAGATGTAAGTATTTATAATTTTTTTTTCCTCATTGAAACAAAATTTAATATATTTACAATCTGTACATGTTATACAATAAGTAAATTGGATAAGATACATGAGTTTAAATTTCAAATATATATAATTAATTTTTTTTTTGTAACTAATTCATAATTATATTCTAGGATACTCATTAAGTTGCTATTTCTGAAAATACAAATGCTACAGTGATTAACGAAAATTCATCAGAATTGAATATTAATTTGAATACAAATGCAGATTGTTCAATTGTAAGATGTTTATAAATATTATATTATATTAGAACATAATGTTCTGTCATAGTTTAAAATATTAAATTACTTTTATATTTTTAGTCCACACCAGTATCAATAGTAAATATGGATAAATATAAAACAGCAAAGTCACTAAATGATATTGGTTTATTTGTTAATTGTTCTGAAAGGGTAAGTTGAATTTAGAAATGTAGAATGATTACACTTAATATTTATAAATTTAATAGTAAGTATTTAAGTAGTTTTCAAATTGGAAAAACGCAATAGAAGAATTTAATAAACACGATAACAATAAATACCATAAAATGACATTATTAAAGTTTGATTGTTTAATGTCAGTGTCTAATAAAACTACTGATTCTATTTTAATACAACTGGATAAAAAATTGAAATCTGAGATAGAACAAAACTGTGCCAAATTAAAACCAATTATTGAAACTGTTATGTTTTGTGGCCGTCAAGGTCTACCTTTGCGTGGTCATCGAGACTCAGGTCCAATAGACTATGACAATCCTCCTGTTGAAAATGATGGTAATTTTAGATCACTCTTACGATTTAAAGTTATGTCTGATGATATAAATCTAGCTGAACATTTAAAAACTGCTCAGGGAAATGCAAGTTATATTAGTGCTGATATCCAAAACCAAATATTAACTTCTTGTTCAAATTTAATATTAAAACAAATTATTTCAAAAGTGAATGCTGCTAAATGTTTCACTGTATTAGCAGATGAAACTGCCGATATATCGGGAATTGAGCAATTTTCTCTGTGTGTACGTTATTTTGAATTTTCTTCAATGCAAATGAGAGAAGATTTCTTAACGTTTGTTCCTGTTACTGATGTTACAGGTATGGGTTTAGCAAAACACACTTTTAAATACCCTTGATAAAGTTGGTATTGATTTGAAATATTTAAGAGGCCAAGGTTTTGATGGTGCAGCTACCATGATTGGATGCTTTAATGGTGTACAATCCCACGTTACCAAAAAATATCCACTTGCTTAAGACTTAAGACATACCTTAGAAATACTATTGGAGAAAACAAATTAAATAGTTTAGCACTACTAAATATTCATCGTGAAATTATTTTAACAACAGATGAAGTTCTTAATGACTTTGCAAAAGACTCAAGAAAAATAAGATTGCTATAGCTTGTAATTTATAATGTGAAAAAATATATTAACTTTAATATAAATATTACAATTTAAATTTTTTTTTATTTTCTATTTTTAATTGTTTATAATAATAAGTCAATAAGTATGTACTGCGTGTTTAATATTAACCTTCAATTAATAAAAAAAAAATGTATTACTAAATAAGCGTATATAAGCGTATAACTCGGTACATTTTAGCGCATTTAGTTTTAGCACTCCTGAACAATATATTTTAGAGTTGAGCAAAAATAAAAGTCATTAAACCCCCTCCCCCCTCAGGTAATTCCTGGCTACGCCACTGCTGATATGCATAATATATGCGTAAGCATTAGGTACATATATACATTATACGCACTCCTTTTACATACACGCAGCACATGCAACACATAAATAATATTCTACATCTCTCCGACCAGATGCTTAGTGGAGACAACACAATCAAATATCAACTGCGCCAGTAAACACCGTATATTATAAAATCATGAAAGCATTCTTTCGTATACATATATATATATATATATATAGGTATATATATATATATATATATATATATCAGTGGCGGTTTTACGGGGGGTCCAGGGGGTCTGGACCCCCCCCCCAGATCAAGAGTTTAAGCTGTGATACATTATTCACTCGAGCCGCTTGGGTTTTGACAGTAATTTTTTTTTGTATATCTATTACGATTACGATTTTTATATGCGGATATAGGTACGCTTGTACCTACATAATTCTGGTGATTTCATCTTTATTATTTTGTATATTAGAATGTTATCTACAGCTATTTAGATAAATACCATATTTTCCCTGAAATTATGACGTTACGATTACGATATCTATTATTTGTAATAATAATAGCGTTCGGCCATTCGAAGAACGTAGGCACATTACCTAGCGCAGCGATAGTTGATAAACTGACCATCACTTTTCCTTAAGCCGTCGCGCATGTCGAACCCGAACGTCAATTCAGGTTAGTAAAATTTATAATAATTATTTTAAATCGTTTTCATTCTTAATTTACAAAGATTTTATCCATATAATTTGACTCATAATAATAATATGTAGTTAATTTAAAATGTAATCTAAGTAAATGATTTTGTATCGTGAATGTAATTTTTAATTGTTCTTAATTTTAATTATTTTCAAATTTCAACATGTTCTTTAAAATTTGAATATTAAATTGATGTCAATAATTATAATTAATAAATTATAATATGGTTTTTTTTTTTCATTTAACTTACGCTAGCAAGTAGCAATAGAGTATAGACAGTAGTATAATATTATGTATATTGTCAAAGCGTGTGCTTGTGCTGTGTAGCAGTGGCGTTTCTTACGCGACCGTGAAGATGGCCCTTCAACCAAGTTCAAACTTTTTGAAAATTATGCTCAGAGTTAGCAAGTAGTTTGCAAGAATTTGCAAGACTATTTTTAGAATTTGCAAGTTAAAATTATGGAAGTTATCGGAAATAATGATACTGCAGGGCCAACTTCACGCAGCCCTTCAAAGTCAACCCAGAAACTCCAAACCGGTATTAAAACATTTCCTACAGTTAGCAAGAGTTTGCAAGTCCATTATCAGAGTTTGCAAGTAAGGTATTCGGCCAGGGCGAGCTTTCAAAGTTTTGTGCCCGGCCCTTCAAAGTCAACCCAGAAACTCCAAACCGGTATTAAAACATTTCCTACAGTTAGCAAGAGTTTGCAAGTCCATTATCAGAGTTTGCAAGTAAGTTCATTGGCCAGGGCGAGCTTTCAAAGTTTTGTGCCCGGCCCTTCAAAGTCAACCCTGAAACTCCAAACCGGTATTAAAACATTTCCTACAGTTAGCAAGAGTTTGCAAGTCCATTATCAGAGTTTGCAAGTAAGTTATTCGGCCAGGACGAGCTTTCAAAGTTTTGCGCCTGGTCGTTCAAAAACACAGAAACTCTAAAGAAACGCTGTAAATTACATCCCATTCTTTATTTTTTATGCAAATTGCGGCCCGGGTATATTTTGTACATACGTAAATTTTGGCCTGGGTATATTTTGGCGCTGGTAGTTAGCAAATAGTTAGCAAATAATAGCAAATCTATTTTTGAAGTTAGCAAATCAAAATTCTATTTTTGGCAGATTTTAGAAAAAAACCCAAATGATCTTGAGGGCCACTTTGTAAATACATCACAATCCTGCGGGCCACATATAGGGTTGCCAAAAAAAAAGGTCATCAGCCAAAATATTAAAAAATATTAATATAAATAATCACATATTTTATTGAAAATTAGGCCACATATAAAATATAAAAGTATTTAAAATCGGAGAATTATCGAAGGGGACTTGAAGTATATAATATGTATATATATCAGTAGTGGTTTTTTGAATTTTTTGCGGGGGGGGGGGTCCTTTAATATTATCTTATAATGTATAAAGACAAAAAAGTTTAACCCATGAATAATTACTAAATAAAATTTAATTCTTACATAAAAAAAAAAAAACAGCATTTTAGTTACAACTACCTATTATAACACAAAATCAATTTTTCGTTTTTTTTTTTACTAATTCGTCCAAAACTTCCTCAGCCGTTAATTGTAAATCCTTATGTATACACATCATAGCCAGACCATTTAATCTTTTCTGAAATATTTAATAAGCAAATTATATTTAATATTGTAAAATATGAATTATGATTTCCTTTATTACTTACTTCTTCAATGGTGTTCCTCAAATAAGTTTTTATTCTTTTAAGATTTGAAAAAGTATGTTCATTAGATGATGTTGAAACTGGTAATGTGGCTAGTATTTGAAGAAGTTTGTATATATTAGGATAAATTTCATTATTACAAAACGATAAAGCTTAGAGTGCATTAGTTGGCTCTTCGCTCAAATTTTTTAAGCACCTTTGCCACAATTTGTATTCAGCCATCAAAATTGCATGGTTTCCATTTTCCAGATCATCTTTTTAATAATTAACCAATGTCATAAAGTCGTCATCTAATTCTTCTTTCGAAATTAAAGAATGAAAAGAGTTTAATGTAGTTTCGTGATCAATAAATCTTTCTTTTAGTTCATTAGCAAATGACTCCAGATATGATATAAATACAGATACACGATAATATTCCTCTGCCGATGTTGTATTTATATTAACTCTTAGGGTCTGTCTATTTGATGTTCTTGGAACCTTTATGACTACTTCAAATTTATCAGCAATCTTAAACGCTTCTTTAAAAATGTTTTCAAATTTATTTTCTGCATCATTTCTATAAGCCTGTACTTCCTGGTATGTCTCATGAGCTAACTTCACAGCTAATCTTAAATATATATTAATTTTTTGAAGCTGTTTCGATAACGGTAGTCCAAATCCAAATCCTTTAGTTAAAACTATTAAAGAAATAATAAATTCTCCATTCAAAATTGAATTTCGTAGACACTGTGCTTTCCCACTTGTATCACTGTCTCCCTATGTTGAAATATCATGTAAGGACTCTACAACAAAATCGTAAAGTTCTAAAAAATCATTAACTGAGTGATACCTTTCGATCCATCGAGTTTCGCAACAGCGCTTCAGTGTTTTTTTTCAAGGGATTGTCTGGAGAATTTTCAATTTTTTGTGTGAGAACTGATTTTCTTTTTGAATTCACAAAAAAATCCCGTGTTTTACTTATTACCCCAAGACAATTTCTTATAGGTTGGAGAGAACATGATTTAGATACGACAAGATTTAATAAGTGAGCAGACCAGTGTACATATATTGCAAAAGAGTACAATTTTTTTATGTGCGCTTGTACACCCTTATATCTTCCCGACATTGCTGCAGCGCCATCATATCCTTGGCCACGAAGATATTTTAGTTCTACTCCAAACGTACTAAAATTTTATAAAATTAAATTTGCTAGTCCTTTTCCTGTAGTATCATTTGTTGGTATAAATTGAAGAAAATCTTCAAGGAGTTCTAATTTGTCTAAGTCGACATATCTGAAGCACAAGGAAACTTGTTCCATTCCGGAAATTTCAGATGTCACGTCAGAAAGTACTGCGAAACACTTTACCTTATTTACTGATGATACAACTTTACTGAGTAAAACTGAGTTACAAGAATCTATGATAGCGTTTTGGCTAGTGTTACTTAAATATTTAACTTTTCTTTCACTTTCTAGAATTGACCTTAATACATAGTCTCCCTGTGCTCGATAACGAATAATTTGACGAAAATTGCCTTGATTATTTTGTAGATTATCATCAACATGTAAGCGTCCCCAGACAATGTGTCCTCTTATAGGCATATTTTGACGCCCACACAACATTATGGCTTCAATGATGGGTTTAATAATTTGTCGATTTTCTAAAACTTGTTTCATTCTTTCGGTTTGTATCATGTTGATAATAGATGTTTCGGGGTTTTTTAACTCGTTAGAAAAATTGCTTGCATCGGATGAACATTGTTTGTGATATGCAAGAGAAGAATGTTTATTAAAATTTTCAACTGCATGTTTCCAATTATCAAATTTTTTTAGTACTAAGCTTCCTAATAATTGAGAATTTGTTCCACCTTCGTTTTTGGAAAATGCTACACAAAACTTACAAAATGCACCATTTTCTACTGCCGAGTATGCCAACCAAGAATATCGCACCAACCAAGAATATTGAAATTTAAGATTTTTTTCCTTCTTTTCCTTTCCACAAATATAAGTTTTTGAAGGAAAATTAAATTGAACGTCAGGTTTCCAGAGATTATTTAAAACATTTATTATATCATTTTGATCAAGTTTTTTATTTTTGTAGAAACTTATATCAAATGGAGACGTAGAGATCAGTGCAGGAGAATCCAAATGAATTTTTTTAAGATTAGTAGAAACATATGATAGCTGAGAAGCAGATCTTTTATTTGTTGATAGTTTCTCTTTCTCATTAACGTGTGACAAATTCGCCATATTATCTGAAGATTTCAAATTGTCATTTGTTGGTATTATTTTGAAGAAATGTGTTAAAGATTTTGGGTTTTTATTTGACATAATTCAATCGATTTTAAA